GCAATTAGACATGATTTTCTAAAAAAATCCTTGGGGGTGGGGGGGGAATCTTTTTGAAATGAGAACTTTATACCTGACGAGTTTGCTCTTTACTTACACACAATGCCTCCAATAACGGCTCTGATCGCAACTGAGAGACATTACTATTATACGAACTTTAGATATACAATCAATATATCACAAAACCCCATGGCCCCGTTCATTTAAGCAGCAGTTAATATTTTAAATCCTTGGGGGTGGGGGGGGAATCTTTTTGAAATGAGAACTTTATACCTGACGAGTTTGCTCTTTACTTACACACAATGCCTCCAATAACGGCTCTGATCGCAACTGAGAGACATTACTATTATACGAACTTTAGATATACAATCAATATATCACAAAACCCCATGGCCCCGTTCATTTAAGCAGCAGTTAATATTTTGATTGAATAGCAGCAGAAGCTTCTCCTGATCAACAGTAAACTACAGCACAATCATCTTTACATTACATGTCTAAATTTAAAGCAAATAATCAACTTCAAACATCATAACAGCCTTGTTATTTGGATGAAAATTTAAAACATTGTGTTTACACAGTAATGATCAAAACTAGTGCAGAAGATGAAAGTGTTTAGCACAGAACATCCTCTAGACGTAGAGCTCCAGCATGAAATTCTTCAGTCCCAACTCATTCACATAGAATGTATCCGTTTCTTCCCAATTTCTTGAAGAAAACAGGTACAGCACAGAAGTTAATAATACCACAGCAGCTTAGTACTCTATGCAGAACTGCAGAACAATATGCAGCACAAGCTTAGAATCAAATTTTAAACTGGGCAACATATAGGAGAGAAAGGGGATGGTGAAGTTAAAGAAAGAGCAATAGAAGTTATTGTTTCATCATTAATTAACTACTTACACATGTGCCATCTTTTTCTTTCTGATTAATAAAATAGTGCAATGAGAAGAAGATGGCACTAGGAAGCAAAAAGAACGTTTAACTCCAGTATACAGGAATCACACAGAGAAGATTAAACCAGTGTGTGTGTGCGTGCGTGCGTATATGGGGGAAACGACAACTATTTTTATATTCTTCTACTACGTTATTAAATCATTTTAGATCCCTTCTAAGGCTCTTCAGAAAGCCAATGAATTAGTGATAATAGGCTGCCAATGGGGAGGATCAGCTTGTGAAGTGTCTCAAATGTATCTGTGAAAAAGCATTTGGGCAATGTATTTGTTTTTCAAGGAGAAATAGTCAAGGCAGCTGTGTTTGGTGTCAGCACATAGAAAGGCGTTCTAGACAAAATAAGTATTGAGCACAGGTATTTGCATAATGCATATTTGCAAAACTAAACAGTGAAAACTGAGTCATTAACCATATGGCAAACCTATACTACGGTTGACAAAATGCCAGGAAACTGTTGCTCTTCAACTATGATGCAGAACTTAGCAAGTGATTCACGTCTGTCACATCCACTGTAAGTGTATTACACGAGCACTATTTTAAGCTATCAGGTAGAGAGCTTTGAGAACAGGCACTGTACAAACACCAATCTTTCAAAGTTGAGGAGATTTACTGTGAGCACATTACACTGAACACCATTCTCTGGAATCTCTGCTTGTTTGCAGGTACAATTAAAGCTGTTGGTTTGCTGTAGTCCCAACAGCTTTGGACTAGATTATTGAAAACCTCCTTTACTCCAGATCTTTTCTTTATCCCCTCATCAAGTCATGGTGGTAAGGAGCTGTGGACCAGCTGTTGCTGAAAAACCCTGGCCCAATACAAATCATCCTGGCACTTTCAATTAAGCTGTGTACCTAAGGAGCCTGCTCCCGCTTCTCTCCTGTCATTCAGCAAGATTTTGCAAATACAGGCCTTTAACTATTTAATCAAGACTACAATTTACTGTTTTAAACAGACTTTAAATTGACTTGGATTCATTTTGGAAAAGATGGGACAATATTCAGACAGTAGTGATGGATGCAACAAAGAAAAAGGCAATTAATGAGAGAGGTTAGCATCTAACCAACATACAGCACACATTTTACATCATGCTTTTCACTGTCCCATCTGACCCCACAAATTTCTATCATCGGTGCACCATCAACAAACTCCATGCAACCTGAAGCAGACGTATCACATTAATCAAACCCTATGTGATCAACACTAGAATCAAAACAGTTCTTGTGTTAAGACTCACGTATCTGCTGCCACATAATTTTGTCAAAGCACAATTTGAATTCAAATATACTCCAATAGCAAGTCCCTTAATATGATTAATAACAGTACCATAAAATTACAACAGCTGTATTACTCTAATAAACATCTTCACTGTAAGGATGCTAAGCATTAGTTATTTAATGACAAATGACTTCATGCAGCAGGTCTATAAAGGCAATGGCAGTGACAGAGAATCTTAAAAAAGTGAAAAAACTCACCTATTATTACTACAGGCAGAGTAAGGAGGGAGTCCCCAGGCAGAACAGTTTCTTCAATTAAAGGCATTCTTTTAACCTTCCTCCCAAGGCTGTCGCCAAAATACTGGATGAAGGAATTCAAAAGCTGTCCTTCGGTATCAGGGCCGCTGTAACTTCTAATTAAGAAGGACAGATGGGAGAAAACTAAAATGAAACAGTTGAACTGTTGTCAGAACAGTCTCTTCAAAAATAAAGTTGCTTTTAATGCTTTACTTTAAGAGCTATGGAATTGGCAAAACCGAGACCAAATGTCGTGGTTTAACCCCAGCTGTCATCTAAACTCGCTCACTCCCCCCTGGTGGGATGGGGGAGAGACTCGGAAGAGTAAAAGAGAAAACTCATGGGTTGGGATAAAGACAGTTCAATAGATAAAGCAAAAGCTGCACACGCAAGCAAAGCAAGACAAGGAATTCATGCACTCCCTCCCATCGGCAGGCAGGTGTTCAGCCATCTCCAGGAAAGCAGGGCTCCATCACGCGTAACGGTTATTTGGGAAGACAAATGCCATCACCCTGAACGTCCTCCCCCTCCTTCTTCCCCCAGCTTTATATGCTAAGCATGATGTCATATGGTATGGAATACCCCATTGCTCAGTTGGGTCAGCTGTCCTGACTATGCTCCCTCCCAGCTTCTTGTGCACCGGGCAGAGCATGGGAAGCTGAAAAGTCCTTGACTAATGTAAACACTACTTAGCAACAACTAAAACATCAGTGTGTTATCAACATTCTTCTCATACTAAATCCAAAATATAGCGCTATACCAGCTACTAGGAAGAAAATTAACTCTATCCCAGCTGAAACCAGGACACCAAAACAGACATGCTTCATCCAATCTACATTTTACTCTTCAGCACAGCTTTTCTAATAGATTTTTAAAAAGTCCACTTTCCCCTAGAAAGTCTACAGAAGGATAACAAAAAGGCACAGATGGCTCTGCAGAGATGCAGATTTCTAATTTCAGTTTATACAAAGCCAAAGTATAACCAAACACTATTTTGATCCCCCACACAGCAGAACTCATTCCTCATTATCCTTATCAAAAGAGGAGAGATACACACTGCCTAGCCAGTTAACAACATTAAGGCCAGCCAAAGGCTGACGGAGCAGCTAAGGTACAACAGCAGCCCCCTTCCTACCCACTGAGCAGCACAGAGGACTTTGACTCAACAAATTTCTGTTTGGGTAGAAGTAAGGCTGGTTAAAGCTGGCAGCAGGGCGAAGATGGAGAAAAGCATGATCTCTGTAAGCCCTAGACACAGCCACTGTACCACTGTTACAAGAAAACTTTTTACAAAAGGAATCACCATGCAGTCAGGTCAGCTACTGCGCAGAAGACTGCTTTCACCCCTAGTCATTTTCCTAGATTTCTCAGTCCTTTCTCTGCAACATCCACTTAGGTTCCCCTCATAACTCTTCATCGTCTAAATGTGCTTCTAGACTATGAAGAATTCTTTTATATTGTTTGCTGCTTAATTATTTAGGAGCCCTTTCTGAAGCCTTTCTAGGTCACTGAAGAAGCATGCACTATCTGTCTAGCCAGAAAGGCAGGGGCAAATTAAAAATAGTCTGTTACTGGCAGTTATTTTATTAAGTTTTCAAAAGACTTACCAACTTTTTAATTAAAAATAAACATCTTTCTCTTTACAAACACAATTTTAATAATTAACTTAATAAATAAAAGTACTCTTATTTATTTCCTAAGAATCTGCATATCTTAAAACTATTCTAGTATTTCAGGAATTATTTTCTACATGGGACCAAAAGTGTAAGACACTAATCCTATTCCCACGGCCTTCAAGAAGCCACGTACGTTACTTGCTGCCTCAACTCCCACAACACTGAAGGTTCTGCTACGTATTTCAAAAGCCTTTCCTCAATGGGGAAGTCTGAAGTAACACTAGAGACAGAGCTGTACAGTAATAACAGAATGGGCGCACAGCGTAATATAGCTCTCCGATGGTTATTTCCTTGTTAAAAAGGGTAGGGAGCTATTCTAAGGTTGTACTTATTTCAGAAAGCAAGAGCTTTAGATCTACAACAAAACACTACAGCAAAAAAAGTTTGCAAATTACGTGCTTACTGTTTGATTACAGCTCAATGTGCATTAGCTCTTCGTGATCTTGGAGACGCATAACACACAAACAGCTCGAGTTAGATGAAGACAAGTAGAAGGCAGAGAGAGGATATCTAATTATCATACTGCTTTTTTCAGCTCCGCTTTTAGATAGGCACAGGAAGACTATATGATTTTCCAGCCTTTGCTAAAAGTTAACTAAGGCAATACTACACTATGCTTTGCAAAATACAGGCTTAAAGAGAGCATGCACGTTTCAGTGTGGTTTTAATATACTTGCTGTGCTAGATGGAAGATAAAAACCAAAAGAAACATTTCAAAACCTCTTTTATGGGATATATGCACAGTGCTGTAGGCTACAAAAGAATCTTTAACAATAAATACGTCGTTCCTGTGCGGCTTAGGTAGCGTATCACAAACTACCCACCTGGTATAGTGCAGAATCTAATTTTGCATAGAAATGTCTGCATACAAGGCGCAGTTTCTCAGCTATTGTGCACATGAAGCAGATGGAGGACTGTTGTCAGGAGCATGTACTTCCTTTGCAAGAACATCATATCAGAACTCAGTCAAATCTTAAGTTAGGGGCCGCTAACACCACCAACTTCCTAACCTTTGAACAACACTGAAAGCCATCAAGTACCAGAAGTTTTTATATTGACAAAAACTCACGGTAGACAGCTTCGCAGTGATGGGGATTTGGTAAAAATATCTATGGCACTAGTCCTGGAGAGATGCAAGTGGGCAAAAAAATGAGTCAGTTCCAAGGCTAGTGCTTAGTTTACCTTATGCTGGTCATACCAAATAACCTGGAAAATTACATTCTGTCAAACAGCTAGATTCTACAACTGTTCATAATTTTTTTTTTGCTTTTTAGTGCTTTTTGGTCAATTACTTTTATTTTTGTTTGATGTGAAAAACTCATTAAGAGAAAAAACACAGCATATATGTAAATGTTTTTCTCCCTCAAAAAAAAAAAAAAGACTAATTCTTTCACAGTAACTGTCTTAATTGACTGCAAGTTATTAAAATAAGAGGTGCCTTTTTCAGGTAACAGTTCTGCAAGATGCTAGAATCCCCTACATGCTTTTAGCAAAAAATTAAGTAAACTGACTGTAGTGGGTGGTTAACAGAAAACTCGTTATATAAAAGGAATTTAAATTTGGTCTCAAGCTCAGACTTTGGGAAGCAAATTTAACACCGTCAGATTGCTGGGTTTTTTTTTAAGTAACCGAGAAGAGCGATGCCCACCAGGGCCGGGATCCCCGACGGGGCCGCGCTACGAACCCCGAAGAGAAACCAAGCATCATC